ACAAGGTCATTAAGATAAGATGGGGCCTGATTATTTAAGACCTTGTATGTGAGGAGCAGGATTTTGAATTCAATTCTGGATTTAACAGGATGGCCTTGGTTTTTCCACAGACAAGTTGGAGGGCAACCTGTATAAAAAAGACATAATGAGTACAAAGGTACTTTGTTAACAGTAGTATACACTAGTTTTTTTTAAGTTTATGACATGGACATCTAAGGAAAACATCCAGCCATCAGTCATCAGTACATTAGTTATAGTGACTCAGAGATGCAGGAGACACCTGACAAAGCTGTTCTGCTTTGCTGCCAAATGCATGCATTGCAGAGATGCATCTTACAGATGTTGGCTTCTTCAGAGTTTTCCATGTAGTGTTTAGTGAATTTGCAATAAGGTTTGAGGGGCATTTTTATTATTGAGAAATACATGTTTGCAGCTGTAAAAAAAGAAAAAAAGAAAAAAAGAAACTGCCGAGCTAAGAAAATAGTCACAGCACTCATCAGAAAAAGTGGAAGTGGAACATCTATGTCACACCGCAATCAAAAACATATGTCTTATGACTTTGACGTCATTAATCAGACCTGTGGTTAGCAAATTACAATTTTTTTCATGTGACTCTTTCTTGGAAATACAATTCAGTTTCTTGGCCCATTAACTGAACTGCAAACAAACTTTTTTTGTTGTTGTTGCGACAATGAAAATTGATTAACGTCATCTTTGTAGATTATTGCAAAAAGACATATTAAGAAGAAAATTCATGTGCAGTTTAATGTTCACATTCAATATGCAAAGGGCATGATTGCTGTTTTTGTACATATTTTTTTGTTAGATAATGGATGTAAAATGTAATTGGCTATTTTTAGAAAATCACATGCTTTTGATTACCAAATAGTATCGATTTCCAGAGAATGTCTTCAAACCAAAAACCAAAAATTAAAGCAATCAATGCATTTTCAGGAATAAGGGTGCTATAAAAATCTGTTTCCTTCTCTACAGTACAATCTATATATATGTACTTCCTAGCACAGTTTTAGAACTAGAGGTAAATATGTCTTTAATATATCTTTGAAAACCAGGAAAAGTTCTTCTCATCAAAACTTTCCATAAACACATTCCTAAACCTTATAGCCTTCACAGAAGAGTCAAAGCTGTTATAGTTGCAAAGGGTGGTTTGACATCATATTAAACTTTACGGATTAAGAATGGGCTATTACTCAAGTTCATGTGTGTGTGAAACCAAATGGCCATCTAGTGTATGTGCACTGTGACAAGTCAGCCTTTTGCAGCTCGATTTACAGTGAGGAAGACTGAGACACAGTATGGTGGAAGCAAGAGGTGTTTATTTGATAAGATAAAATAAACCTTTATTAGTCCCACATGTGGGAATGTTTTTGGTCATGGCAGAAAGTACAAGTTAAGAGCAGTAAAAAATTAAGAAAATAAAGCAATAGAACAGGATAAGATAGAATAAAATACTATATACACACTGTGATGGCTGCACTTACAGCCACACAGTGGTAATACCACCATGTTAGTGTAGAGGCTTATAAGTAACATTGCATTCACATTTGTCTTTCTTTAAATATAGGAATTAATTTACAGGACAATAAATAACTGGTTTTGGTTTAGAATTCATTCACATACCCACATAACACTGCATTCTGAAATAAGTGCGCACATTTTAGTTTACACTGTTATGTATGATTAATCTTTTGTTTTCTGAGTTACCTTAGTTGCAGCTGTTCCAGTCCCTTGATTAAGGAGCAAAGAGGTGGAAAAGGGGCGGAGCGAGCTTTAAAGGAAGACTACAAATTGGTTCATGCCATAACTCGGGACCATGGGGGGGGAATTGGAGTTCATTATGTTAGGTTTAGTTAGGTTTTGTGTGTTTTACCCCTTCTCCTGTTTTTGTGGGCTGATCAGCCACTATTTAAGTTTCCCCTTTGTCTCGTTAAGTTAGGTCAGTTTGTTTGAGTTATCAGTAGTGTTGTCAACTTTGAGTAGAGTTCTGTTATTTTGACCTCTTTTATGGGCCCAAGATTTTGATTCTTTTTGCGTGATTTAACCAATTATGTTTTTTGGGTTAAATAAAAATCATTTTTTTGGACTTTAACCTGTGCCTAAGTTTCCTTCACTGCTCGGTCCATCACATACACAAA